CATAAAATATCTGCGTCCCAGCGGTTTTTCTTTCTTGGACATTATAACAATAAATAGCGTATACATTTATAAATGCCATATTCAACATCCCATAAAACATAGCCTCAAGCCATCTGTTTGCGGCTGCACGACATCAATGATTTAATCGAAAGTGTCGACTCCACCCTTGGTTTCGTTATAAAAATTAATCATGTTTAACTTGCCCATCGTAGAATGAACTGTGCCCTCTTCATCGCACGATGGAAGAACTACTACTAATTTACCTGGTTTCGGCTTTGTACGAAACTAACGTTAACGGCCCATCATTACAGAACATGGATGTTCCAACTCGCCTGGAATGCATATTTTTCATATATATATACGTGCATAATATATATAACGATTATCTATGACTGAACAAATATGAAATATTATGTATGAAAATAAGAAATGTGTTAAATGTGTTAATTCAAGCTTGCAACGATTTTTAACATGCTTATGGACTTGATATTTAAAAACAAACTTGTTGGGAGTTTTTTTTATGTCAATTTTTTTTTTTATAGAAGAAGGGGCAAACGAGCATGCTGCTCACCTGATGTTAAGTGACTACCGCCGCCCATGATCAACCGCAACACCAGGGGAATTGCGGGTGCGTTGCCGGCCCTTTAGAAAGGAGTAAGCTCTTTTCTTGAAGGTCCCCAGGTCGTATCGGTCCGGAAAAATCGCCGATGGTAAACTATTCCACAGAGAGGTTGTACGTGGAAGAAAACTCCTTGTGAAACGTACAGTGGTGGACCGCCAAGCATCCAGATGGTGTGGATGGTATCGGGACGTTTGACGTGTAGTGCGTTCACGAAATTTGGCGGCTGGGATTAATCCGAACAATTCCTCAGAGCACTCCCCGTGATAGATGCGATAAAATACGCAAAGAGATGCAACATCTCTTCGCAGCGCCTGTGAATCGAGCCGATCGGAAAGCACTCGGTCGTCGACGATTCGAGCCGCTCTGCGCTGGATGCGGTCAAGTGGAAGAAGCTGGTACTGGGGAGCCCCAGCCCAGAGATGGGAACAGTATTCCATGTGCGGCCGAACCTGCGCCTTGTAAAGTTGCAGGCGGTGTGCCGGCATGAAATACTGTCCCGCTCTGCTGAGCACGCCAAGCTTTTTAGAGGCCAATTTAGCCTTCCCTTCCAAGTGACCACGAAACTGCACGTCACTCGATATGTTGACGCCGAGGATTCCGATACTGGCTGAGGCAACAAGGGGAGTGCCTTGAAACTGAGGGGATACGACAAAGGGGTTCTTTTTAGCGGTTAAATAAAGCGGGTAAATAATTTGGATAACAGATACACATGGATCGTTCAGAATTGTGAAAAGGGTCCAGAGTATTATAACATATCTGCGCTGTCGGATAGGCTGCCAATTTAGCTGATAACGAAAAGAAGATACATGGTCATATTTACGAAGACCATACGTTTATCTGATACAGTTGTTAAGCAGACGATCCAATGTATTAATGGTCGCCACTCGCCACATACGGTCAGTTCAACTGATCAGTTCAATCTCAAACTGTTTATGTTTTATTAAATATCTAATTTTTGTATATACATGAATGAACTTTTAAGTAAAACTCAGATATTAGTATATTTTTAATGATCGATATATCGAAAATCCACTATTTTAAAAATATCAGCAGTTTTAGTTTGAACTGGTCAGTTGGAATGATCAGTTGAACTGACCGTGTGTGGCGACCATTGAGATGTTCAATCGCATTGCAATAATAAAAAAGGGTTTATACGTATTCCTTACAAAATCGGCTCTAGACCGTTATTTGATTGCATATGATGCAGGCATTGGGAAATTTATTCTTTAAATCATCGGAACTATTACAAAAAAAGTTTATATTTGGTATCAGGTTTAAGCACGAAAAAAGTCATGCAGAAATACGCGAACTAAAATGTAAAATATATGGAATTATACAACGAATGTCAAAATTTGCGAAGACTGACGCCGCAATTAAGTAGTGACTTCTTTTATTAAAAGACCTAATCTTAAACTATAGTTTAAACCTATGACTATCAGTAAAATCATGTTTTTTAATAAGGCGGCACGTGTGTTAAAATTAACTCGTGATTTCTTTTGTTGTCTGAACTAAGACACATAATAATGCTGCCAGTCATATGAGACGTTTATAAAGTTGGCCACCTTCCTAAACAAAGCGTTATTATTTATTTGGACATTCCTTACAAAATTTTATAGTTACAGGTAGCTTCAATATAAAATAATAAACTTATTATATTAAAACTTATAAAAGAGCCTAATTTTAGTTGATTGTTAACATACTTTTGAGATTTTTATGAATAAAACCAATATTCATTCATTACAGCTTACTAAACACTTGCAAACATAGGTATCCCCATAAAATTGCCTTATAAAGGAAATATTTTCCAGGCTGGCTAACGTAGTTTTTTATTTCTTAGTTGTTATTTAGAAGACGCTGCTGCCCATATCCTGGTTTGTTTTTCTCTGTTCGTCTCCTACGGCACCCACGGGACGATACATGGATATTCTTATACTGCAATTATGCAGTAAAAAATACTATCACATAATATATTTTATTGCCATCCTTTGACGAAACCGGATTCAGATAAGAAATGCTTAGTATTCACCATCAATCTTATCGGTAATCGTTACAGCCCCGGTTAGCGTTTACGATTCGCAATCGATAAAATGATACGAAAACAACGGACGGCGCTGACGTTATACTAGAAATATTTAGCGTTCTGTAAGTGGGCATTGTGCTTTTTGAAGCGACAAATGACGTAGGCGTAATAACAAAAAAGCTACTTAAATCCCACCATTCAAGAATTTATATTATATTAAATACAAAAGTATTTCGCATTTATTGTTGTATCCTTTACTATTTATAAAAATTACTAATATATTGCTCCGCAATAACAACACATCCACCGTACCTATGCCTACCATAATATTTAATGTAATAGGCTTTAAAGGACACCCACGCTTAACATAATAGCGTAGAGAAGACCTTATTAGTCGATCTAATGACGCAACGCTGCGGAATGTTATTTTATCAGAAGAGAAAATGCCATAAAAATACTAATTGATCCCTGTCAGTTACGTATTTAAAATTGAGTTACGTTTAGGTACATATTAACATATTATATAATTTTAAAAAATGTCCACCATAATCATAAATGCTTTTCCGTTCGCAAGAAACACAACAGTGTGTGATAGTGGATGGATGTACCCTTGCGAAGCCGGGGTGTATCGCTTGGAAGACATATAAATTGAGTAAATATAATTGCTTTTTTTGAATAACGCCTTTACGTAGAAGTACCAAAATGGAAGATAACACTAAATAACTGGTGTTGCTAACAACCAAACATTATATTCTTTTAATTTATGTCTTTGATAAATTCTTTGAACACACACATACAGTGTGTGTATGTGTGTGTTCAAAGAATTTAACAATTACAATTAGAAATAACAATATATTAATTTTCTTCTTTTTATGTATTTATTATCATTATTTCTTTGCGGATTGAATGTGGTCTCGAAATCGCGCGTGAAAAGAAAACGTTTATACTGTGTATATTGTTTTCCTCCTCTGTTTTCTTCATATGTTTTCAAACGTTCTTTGTATGTATCTCTCTAATGCGGCGCAAGGCCTCGGCCTTACAACTAAATGAGCAAAGGGAAAATTAATCTTCATTTGCTCAGAACGAGAAAATGAAATAGCGTTTCGGATTTGTTTGGATATTAATCTATTGTATTAGACATCTGTACTTATTACTGTTACTGTACTGGTAAGTTAATGCTTTAGACATGACGCTTTTAATCATAATGGTTTCATTTTATTTTATAAATATCTAAAGTTTATAATTTAGTCAGTTAGTTTATATATCTAACAGGTGACAATGTTTTTTTCGCGCCGTAGCTTTTAAGTTTATTTTGCATTTTACCAGGTGTCATGTATATATGGTATTTAATAATAATTTAATAACGTTAGCACGTGTTGTAATAAGACGATAATCAATAGGGAATTGTTAACTGCGATGGATACTATTATAGCACTGTAAGTATTAGCTTGAACATAGAAACACAATCGTCCTCTCATCGTTATTTAAACATATCAATAAACGTTTATAAATTAACACAGGAGGAAGAAATTGTCTTCTCCAGAGCTTAAAAGTCCACTGTGGAACATAGGCCTCTCGTTGTATGGAGAATAAGATACAATCTTTATACACACGCGCAAACACAATATCTCCAAACTTAATGATTGATTAGAACAACGAGGCAGTCAACTGCCTCTTTGGTCTAGTGGTTGTAATGGTGCGACTGCTAATAATGAGGTCCTGGTTGCGAATCTCGGGTTGGGCCAAAAATCAATTATTGAGTTTTTCCGTCAAGAAATTCTCAGTAGTTGCCCGGAGTCAGGAAGCTTTCGGTGTCTCAGCCCCGTGCCTCGGAAAGCACCTAAAGCCGTTGGTCCTGCGCCTCTGATCTCTCTCAGGTCGTGTCGGTTTACCGTTCCATCGGATTATGAGAGTGAAGGAATAGAGAGTGCATCTGTGCTTGCGCATACACTTGGGCACTATAATCTTGTCCTGCGCCGAAGGCTAGTCTCCGTTGAGGCAGGCGGCTGTGACCGAAATTCGGTCTGCAGGACATAAAGTATAATATATCTAAAGATACGTATCGTGCAGATGCGACGTTAGAGGATCCACTAGCCTATGTCATGCCGTGGGTGTTGTAAGAGGCGACAGAGATTAATAAAAGCGTGGAAACTATGGCAAATATTTTCCTGTGAGGCATCTACAGGGGAGGCTTGACCTTGGGAGAATGGACTTTACATGGGTTTGCTATAAATAAATAAATTAATGAAAATATTTGGCGTTATTTTGCGATATTTACAAAAATTGAGTAAGAATATTCGTCCGTTTTAACTGAAATCCAAAATCATAGTCTACAAAAGCTCTTTTCTTCTTCTTTAGGAGCATCATCTCCAGAGGGCGATATCAGGCACGGGGCTCATAATACCAACACCAGAAGTGTGCGAGGTAAATGACCTCGAGTTCTACGAAAGATGCTACCCAGCCGACTACAAAATGCCCAAGCAGCACATACACATGCAGCGTGAGTACTTTATAATTTAGGGAGTTATCAATAAATACTCTAAAGCTATAACTCATAAAAAAAGTTATTAATAAATTTTTTTGTGAGTTATAGCTTTAAACTATACAAGTATATTAGCAAATATGTTTAAAGGCTATATCAACATTACGCAGGTTTTGAATCTAACAGAAATAGTTGATGTCATAGAAATGTGTAGCGTAAACGATTCTATAAACAAAAGATTGATGCTTATAATTATTAATTAGAACTTGTCGGAGTTTTAAATAGTAAGTTTATTTTAGCAAAGCCCTTTTTCAGTCCTCAGATGATTATTCATAGGATGAAAATCAACTTCAATTCAACGTTGACAGTGAATTACAAATTTCGGGAAAGGCGGCTTAAAAACTTCTTTTGTGACAAACACTTTTCCTCAAATCCGAGATTACCTATAAATCCCATTTTGTAATAAAACCTTTTGAGTATTATTTAAATAATTATGTACCTAACAAGTAAATAATACGTAATATTTAAAGACGTCAATTTCATTAAATCATCGCACTGTACCTATATTATATTGGGAGAATCAAAACTGAAAAGTTATTTTACAGCAGTAAATTTCAAGCCTTTGTTAACGTATTTTCGCATTTTCTTGACTGATTCTATTGTTAACCTGTCGTAAAAGGGCTTAGAATATTTATGTTTTTAAAATAAAAAATTTGACGTACAACACATACGAATTAACTTGAGACTCCGCTGGAATGCGACCCCCTTCCCGACTCCCCGCACCGCGTCCCGCGCTGGCCGTGCGCGCTCAGTACCGATAGCATTTTTGTTACGGATACGCGTCTCGACTCTAGTTCGATATTTTTGATAATTGTTTGTTGTTTGGTTTTGTTAAAGTGTATAATAAATAAATTAATAATATTATAAATGAGAAAGTGTGTATGTTTATTTATTTGTCCTTCCTTGACGCGTTAACTAAAAATAATATTATATATATTATAAAAAATGAATATTTAAAATATACATATAAAACAACGTTCTGGGAAGTCTGCAGTTTGTGATCATATCCTAGACGGACCCAACCATTACATCAGATTTGATAGACCACAAATCCTCGCGAAAGAACACCGATTCCTACCAAGGATGATACGTGAGGCTATTGAAATTAAAAAACATCCTAATTTCAATAGAGAAGGAGGCTGGGTACTACCACCTGCTTGGGATCCTATAATCAATAAAATTAAAACTAAACCCAAGCATACCACTGCAAGACCTCAGGACATAGTTCATTTTGCATAGATCGGACCATAAACAATAATTAAAAAAGCTGAAGGTACTCCGGGTTTAACAATGACATCGGGACGTCAGTCATCTCAGTCCCCCGTTATCATGGGTGCTGGAAAGCGAAACGTCCCGAAACGTCGGGAATCAAAGATAAAAGTAAATAAAAAGTAAAAATAAACGCGATAAAATCCGTAAAAGTAGTTTTAATCATATATAAAAATGGCAACAGTATATCACTTATTACTTCACCTCTTGCCAGAACATTATATTTTGTTTTTATTAATAATCTCATGCAAATCTCAAAAATTTCAAATAAAAAAATATTACGATGCATTATTTTGCACACCGTACATTGACAATTACGTCATCGGCCCAGGTCTCAAGTTAATTCGTACGAGTTATAGAGTTGCTTGTAATATTTAAGTAATACCATACCTTTCATTACTGTAAAATGAAATTTGTAAATATTCTTTAAATGTAGAGTTATTATTGAACACTTGAGTCAGCTATAAAAAAATGGCATGCTAGCCAGAGAACAAATTTTACTTCTAATCAAAAAATTAAAAGGGAGCCAAATTCGGTACAAACAACATTCAAGGTTATCTCAGCTTTGCCGATAAAAGTTGAGATCTAAACGGGTGCCAAGTTCCACAGCAGTTGCTTGGATCATAGGATCTATAGGAATCTAAGTTCTTGAAACTGCTGCAGAAGTTTAATTAGTACAGTTATTACATTGCAAATAAACGTCGCCAACATTATTAAGGTTGGTATTGAAAACTGTAATAGTGCAGTCAACCATTTTACAACGATATTTACCGCTGTCATAAAGCTAGCGTGTTTGGCAATAATGTTACGTGTCTTAATAGTCTTGGTGGTTCAGGGGCTAAACGCTTGCTGTCAATTTCGCACTATGCGAGCAACCCTGGTTTAATCCCTGCCGGCACCCATAAAATTGTTAATAGTAATTTGAAGTGCTGATATACCACATTCTCGGCGGTGAAGGAAAACATCTTAAGGAAACTTGTATGTTTGAGAATTTAAAAAAATATCATGGCAGCGCGGTGGATACTTCCTTGCCTTAAAACCCTCCCAGAAATGTGAGGAGGGCCTGTACACGGAGTGGGCTTATATAGGCAATAACACACCTTTTTTACATATTTTGCTACCAATAGTTAAACTAACGGACAATAATTAAGTTTTATATATGTATAGAGATATGACGCCCTCTTGACTTGTAACTTTAAACGATTGTTGCAATCGTTACATTGTATTTACGCCAGAAGAAGTATAGATATACAATGAATTTTTGCATAATACATTCCGTTTGACACACAATCGCACGCTCCCACTGTTCTTACAACACTAATACTAATAGGTATGAGCAGCATAAGTCAATAGTTGTTAAGACTTAGTTGCAATTTGTGCGTTCCTATAATCGCTGGCAATATTTTGTTATTTTATAGTACATCCTGCACACTAGATTATACATAAAGTTTCGTCAAAGCGTCTAGATTGCGATCAAAGTTAAGGAAACGTGTCATTTTTAAATAATTATTATAAACCAGTGTTTTAGTATATCTAAGGTAAAATTCTATTCACTCTAGCCTTAAACAGATGTCGGCAAATTATTCAACTCTTTTTTTGTACACAATTACAAAAGACGGAGCCCTTTGGTTCTTACTTGGAATATCTACAACAAAGGGGTGTAGACTCGCCGACCGCCTGTGTTGTCCGATGGTGGTGATGGGAGGGAGTAATTAAATTATAAAATTAATGCGCACATTTTTTGGAATGTATCCTGTGGAATACCGAGAGGATGGCTACTTGGCGCCCTGTGCTCGAGGTTTACAAGATTTGTTACAACTGAATCTCAGTACCATGCCTTGATTTGTACGACAGAAGAATTTCAGATGCCCATGACGGCATGTATTGATATTATATTGCTGACATTTATGATTCCAGTAAATAAGCTACTTTAGTTCTGGCTAATGGTATACATATAAGTAATACACATTTGGGCTGGTGACATGAAACACTCATGGCGCATAGTATGCTCTTGATCGGTTTATTATTTATTTCAAATAAAGCCGTGGCAGACAGGTCTTTAATTTTAATAAATAAAATACCGTGTTGCCTTCGACATAAGGTCTAATGAATGAAAGTCGTTAAACATCACCCCCGTTCGTATATGAGCACGGAACGTGCACGTGCTGCGCACGCACCATTTGCTTTGCTTTGAATAACTCGAAAAAACATGCCAAATCGGGTCTGTAAATAAATTCACACCATAGGTTTGGTGATAAAACGTGGTGACAAACGTTTTATTATTTATGATTTTATCTAGTTTCGTCATACACGTGTTAATACTAACAATGCCTCCTTTGCATAGGTACGTAAATGTTGGAAGGATTTACTTAAAACTTTTTAAAATGTCTTTCTCTTTGGTAAACCATCCATCATCAAACATACATTTATAAAAAGCGAAATTTTGTTTTTTCATCATCGATTTCAGTTATTTTAAGTTTGTCACATTTAATTCCTTCGTGGGCCAGAGTCTCAAGACAAAGTTGATGGATGCCGTTTCGCTGTCAAATGTCAATTTTGCAAGACGTATTTTACAGTAAGTAACAAACGAGCACACAATCCACGTGCTTGAATTATTTCACTTGAACTTGCATTGAACTTGCATTTTACGACAGCTGGTTATTTCTGTACTTACAACTTGTTGATTAATTGAGAAGTACCGGTAGTTGCGCATACCAACATTTTAAACATACGAAAACACAAAATTCTTACAAAAAGAACAAGTTTAAAGCCTTCTGATTTTAGATTCTATAGTTTATACTATTCTTAAGAACCGATCACGAATGTTACGTAACACATTAGTAACACGCGGTAGCATTCGTGAATGAAAATACTCGTGGACATTACCAAAAAAATATTTATTCATGTGATTTTTGAAGTTATGGGACGCGGCATGATTCTTCTTCTTTAAGTGCCTCTCCATTACTGAAGGTCAGCAGTCATCCTTCTAAATTCTTCTTTGTTCATCTACCAACACCTCTTTTACCCGCTACTTTGCCTATCACAATAGTCTGCAGCAGTTGGTAATGTTCATGCCTTAGCACGTGTCCTAGGTACGCAACTTTTCTCTGTTTGATGGTTTTGACAAGTAGGGGTTCATTCCTTTTCATCTGTTTGAGGACCTCAATGTTGGTAACTTTGTCTGTCCAACTTATTCGGAGCATACGGCGATATTGGATATATGTTCATTTCAAATGCTTCTAGTTTCCTACGGAGATCTTCCTTCATAGTCCAAGATTCGCATCCGTATAGTATGACAGGCCAAATATAGCATTGCATGAGTCTTGTACGTAGTTCGATTGATAGTCTCCTTGTAGTAAGAACTTTGCTCATCCTCATGAAAGAGGCTCTTGCAGTTTCAATTCGAACTCGTATTTCCATGTCACTCTCCCAAGAATTAGTTACCCAAGATCCAATATACAGGTACTTCTGAACTTGTTCGATACTATCTTGTCCTATACATACACTACACTGCTTTGGCGCTCTCGAAACTACCATGATTTTGGTCTTAGATACGTTTATATTTAGTCCTAATTTTGTGCTGCACTCGATTATGCGGTCTAGTATTTTTTGAAGACCTTGTTCTGAAGATGCAATAAGAACAGTGTCGTCAGCGTATCTCAAGTTGTTAATCAGTTGGCCATTGACAA